CTGCGCTGCGCTGCCCGAAAAGAAAAGAGGAAAGGAAAGGAACGCGCGCCCCCCTCCTCCGCCTCCGCCTCGGGTCCAGGCGGCCAGCCTCCCCTTTGTCTCCCGGCCGGAGCCCCTCGGAGCGTGGGCTGCCTGCAAAGTGCTCGCCCGGGCTGCTCCTCCTCCTGGCCCCCCTCCCTCTCCCCTAAGGAGCCCCCGCAGACGGCTGCGCTGCCCGAAAAGAAAAGAGGAAAGGAAAGGAACGCGCGCCCCCCTCCTCCGCCTCCGCCTCGGGTCCAGGCGGCCAGCCTCCCCTTTGTCTCCCGGCCGGAGCCCCTCGGAGCGTGGGCTGCCTGCAAAGTGCTCGCCCGGGCTGCTCCTCCTCCTGGCCCCCCTCCCTCTCCCCTAAGGAGCCCCCGCAGACGGGCAGAGTCCTGGGAAGGAACCCCGCACGCCCCGGGCCCCCTCTCTCCTCTCCCCTCTCCTCCGTCCCTCCCCGGGCCTGCCTGGCCCTGCCCGGAGGAGGCGGCGGCTTGCGAGCCAGGGGATCGGATCGCGCAGCGCGCAGGTAAGGAGGAGGAGGAGGAGGAGCGCGCCCGAAAGCCAAGGAGCAGCAGCAGGAAGAGGGAAGCAGAGAGAGCGTGGGAACAGAAAGCAGCCGAGGGTTCGCTCGGGGTGCCCCCGAAGGAGGAGGAGGAGGAGGAGGAAAAGGGCGGACTACCTACCTGCCCGCCCACCGACCCCCTTCTCTCCCCTCCCTCCTTTCCCGCCTGGCCTCCAAGAGGACTAGGGTCTTGGTCAAGGTGAGTGGTTCGGAGAAGCGCCGGGACGAAGGCGGAGAGAGCGGTTCCGAAGAGGAAAGCGCTTCCCTGGGAATGTGAGACGGCGGGTGGGGTCTTCCCGCTCCCCTCAGCCCACCCGGGAAGTGCGTTGGATCTAGGTTTTGGAGGGTGGCTGGGCGAGCAGGGGGGGCGGACCCCCCCGGGGGCGGACGCTGCTGAGACCCCAGGCTGAAAGCGGGAGGGCGATGTAGGGTTTCGGTCGCTAGTTTCCATGGCAACGGGGCGGCGATCGGCTGCTGAAGTCGTCCCTCCCCAACCCCCCCCAATCAAACTTTAAAAACAAATTAAAAGTTTTATAGAAGTTGACACCCCCGCCCGGAAATGGGTTTTCCTAAAGAAGTCGGTGTCCCGAACCAGCCCTGGGAAGGAAGGGCATTTCCCGAAGCGCGCTTTGTGCCGGAGACCGGGCTTGTTTTTAACCAAGGGAGAACCAGGCGGCGATCTCAGTGGCGGGGGTTGCCCTCCGCCCCTCCCTCGACCTCCCCCCCCACTCCCTTCTTCTTCTCCCCATCAGGTCGCTTTTCACGTGGGAAAAGCTTTTGCGCAACGGGGGGAAGGCCGTGGCCGTTGCGCAACTTTTCACTCCGAGTTCACTTCGGAAAACTGGCGGGCCACGAAACCCCGTTGCGGGGGCTCGGCCGGCGGGCGGGCAGCGGGAAGGGCGGGGCTCCTGGGTGTTGTAGTCCACAAAAGGCCCATGTGCGAGCTCTGCTCGGATTCTCTCTCGCACTTCTGCCCGCGCGCGCACACCCGCGCGCCCACCCCTCTCCCCGCAAAATCTGAAGCCAGCTTTGCCTGTTGCAGATGGGCAGAAGCGGTGCCCAGCAGGTTTTTTTCCGGGGCCTTGCGGTGCCAGGCTGGCTTCCCTCCCCTACACGAGGCTGAGAAAGTGACCCTGGAGCCCAATGGCCCCCTCTTCTCCCTCCGACATCACTCCCTTTTGCGCCTAGCCTTGGAGCCTCCGTGGTAACCACAGCAACCCCTTTCTCAGGCCTGGGCGCCTCTGGAGGGCTGGCGGGTCTCAGCCTCTCCCAGGCATGGCGGGCACCCCCCACCCCGTGGGCCACCGGGTAGGCAGGCGGAGGAGAAGCGGCTCTGCCCTTTGGGGCCAAAGGGTCTCTTGGACAGGTTGGGCCACTGACAGACCCTTTAGGTGCAGGGGCCCTCGACTTTAAACCTATGAGTTGCTGTTCTTAATACTGCTGTTCTTGCTATGGATGGTGCTGAGAACACCCTCCCTCTGCATGGAGCTTTTCATAGGAAAGGGGGACACTTTTTGGCCGAAGAGATGTGCAAGAAAAAAAATATACAGCGTACAAAGAAAGCAGATGGGAGGCAGTGGAAAGGAAAGATGGCTGGGCTGAAGGTTCGCCATCCTGGATTTTTGTCTGTCATTGAACTACGCCTTGCAACTACTTTGCCAAACTCTGGGTGGGGTTTAACCAGGGAGGACTGTGTGACCTTCTGGTGCAGCTTCAATGGGGAATTTGGCTTCTAAGTGATCCGAGGCTGGTGCTGGGAGTGAGTTCCTGGTCTCATGATAATAATAATCTTCGAACAGCTGAGCCAGGAGGGACCCCAGGGATCATCCAGTCCAACCTCTATCCAGGAGGCCCAGTGGGGGGAATCAAACTCCCAACCAATCTAAACCATTGAGCTATCCAGCAGCTCATCAGAGCCCTCAGGCTGTTTCTCTGCTCAAAAGTCTTCCACGAACAGACAACCCATCGCTTTCTCATTGGTTCCACCATCCTCTTCTATAGAACGGTGTGCCACATACAGGATAAGTTCCTGGAGCCTTTCCTTGAGGAGGGGCACACAGCACCGGAAGAAGCTTCTTCTTTTGCACCACAGAAGTGCAAGGAATACGTCAAGTCCCAACAAAGGTGGGCCATTGTGTCCAAAGGGTGCTTTCTGAGAGAAATCCCCGCAAAACTCGAAGGAAAGGTTGTGCCTGGGGATTTTCACGTTCAGGCCTTTGTCTGTCTCCTTCTCGCTCCCTTTCTCTCTCTGGAGGAGGCATGCTCTTAAGGGCCGTAACGGAGCCCTTTGTGTGCACCGTGGGCCTGCTTCAGCTTGCTCTTTTGGGGTGGGGCAGGCAGGGTGGGACTGGCCGGGCTGGTTGAGCTCCCCTGGCAGAGGTTTTCCATTGGCCCAACGCCTGGGCGAGATTAGCCTCTTCTGGGAATCCTCCAGCAAATCTGTGCCAGGCGATGACAGTGGAGAGCTTAGAATCTTTCTGAAACCCCCCCATCCCTCCCCCTCCCCGGGGAAAAAAGTGGTATCTGACCTTGCTTCTGCAGTGGGTGCAAAGAGATCAGTACTGGACGGGGGGCCGAACTCAGAAAAGCCACTTTGCGCTAGAACCCAAAAAGAAGGTTGCTTGTACCACTTTTGGTGCTGTCTTAAAAAAAGAACTTTTCCAAACTCTGGGAGAAGCTGGGGCCCATTCAGGCCTCTGTGGCTTGTTTCCTCCTCCTGCACCTCCACAGGGCCTCCCTCGCCCCTCCCTCACCCCCTCCCCATAAATTTCTGTGTTTTTCTGCCACCCTGTGCCAATGCACTTTGGATTTACTTTTCCCCCCTCGCAGGGCCTGGCGCCTCCCTCACCTGCCACGCCATGGCGAAGAACGGGGGCTGTTGCAACATGTGTGCCACCTGCCTGCTCTGCCTGTACAGTTGCCGTTGGAGCTGCAGCAAAAAGGGTCTGGCCACCAGCAAGGTGAGTGGGCAGCAGAGGGGGAGGGGGAGCCCGTGCGGGAAAATCATCCCTTCCTGGCATCTTGGGGAGTAAGCAGTGCGGCAGTGACGGCTCAGCTTTTCTGGGTTATAGTGACATGTGGGGAGGGATGATCTTGGCTCGGGCTGCCCCCAGAGGGATGATTAGGATGATCTTGGCATTGCCAGCCAGTGGAGTTGATAGGTAGAGGTTACCATAGATCAGTGATGGCAAACCTTTTTGAACCAGAGGGCCCAAACGGCAGCACAAAACCAATCATGACTGTCCCGAAGAGTCCCTCTCCTGCGGTCACACAACCTCCAGCGCCTGCTCAGGACACTTCCCCGCTCTGCCTCTGGCTGCAATCCTTAGAGGGGCAGGCAGCCAGAGAGAGAGAAAGAGAGGAAGAGAGAAAGAGAATGTGTGTGTGCATGCATGCATGCATGCGCACGCTGTTATCTGATGAAGTGCAATAGCTACTTACTATGGTGTGGATTCATTGCACTGTCATATTTTTTTTTAAACCCCTTTCTCGCCTTGGCAGTGTGACTGCGTCTGGTTCTTCTTCCTCTTCTGCGTGTGCCTTTTTACCCTGGCCTGGCTCTACGTTGCCCTCGTCACCCTCAACGATTTCCACAACCTCAACGAGTGAGTAGAAACCACCACCACCACCACCGGCTCTTTGGCCCCCATGAGCCCCTCCCCCCCCTTTTGCTCCCCTGGGGCAGAACTTTTCCCAACGTGTCTTTTTTCATGTCCGACAGATTCATTTTCCACAAGACAGAATGGTGGCTTGACTGGTCGGTGGTGATGCTGTCTGGAACAGCGACTCTGGTCACTTACTCCTCTCTCCTCTTGGTATGCCCTGTCACTCCACCTCTTCTTCCAGGACTCCCTTCCTGACCACGCTAGGATTCAGTGATTTAGGGTTAGGGTCAGAGTCAGAGTCGTGGACCCCCCTTAAGACGTGGGTTGGATCTCTCATTGGCTAAGGAAGATCTGCACCCTCAGCTACTTGAGGGGACTCCCTTCAGAAATGGAGAATGACCATGGCTTTTGATTCTTAGTGCGCAGGGACTGGTGTGGCCTGAAACCTTGTGAAGTTTTTTATTTTTTTTATTATTATTATTTTTGCTATATACCATTTTCCCCTTCCTCATTTTTTATAACCATTCAGCTGAAAGAAGAATGCAAAAGCTTGTTTTTGTTGCTGATACATAATTCGGATATTGTTCACCACTGGATTTTGTTTTATTCCTATGGGCCTCAATCTTATTTTTCTTTTTTCATTCTTACAAGTCTTATCCTGAGATTGAATTAAGTTACAAACCCCATGGCTGGAACAAGAAGTCTTTTCTTTCTTTCGTTTAATATTGTTGTTCCTCAACCCATCCTATAATTGTTTTTGCTTCCCTTTGCCTGAGTTTAGGAACCTGAAAACTCATACATTTCTGAGTCTTTAGCTTGGTCCTAATTGAGATACCCTGCCTGCTGTGGGTTTTGTTTTTACTAATGAATCATGACTACCTTTTGGATTTTTTTTTATCCAATAATATGGGAAGGTCCTAATCTCTGTGCTATAATTAAAAATAATTTAGATGCTGGGAATGGTCATTCTTTGAGGGGAGACAGCAGGATTTTAACATGACACCAGCAATTTCACAAAAATGATTGTGCCAGCAGCACCTTGCAGGAAGCCAAAGTTAAATCCATATAAGAAAATATCCTCCCCCTAAAAAAAAACCACAACTTTAAAAATGTTTTTAAAGCTATTTTAAAAGAGTTCCTTTCCTTCCCCTTAAGATGATCAAGAGTAGATCTAAAAGCATATGGAGTGCACATCACAAAAGCCAGAAGGATACTTCTGCTCGGGTGTGCTTCTGTCTCTGAGCTTCTTTTTCTTCTTTCCATCCTAGGTGCTGGCAGTCTGCCTACAGCTTTGCCACCAGCCATTAAAGCTTCACTGGGTACACAAGGTAAGCTTGCCCGGAGGTCCCTCCCAGTTTATCCCCCTGCAGATTTCCTTCCCGGAAGGCCTGATCCTGCACACAAAAACAGAGCTCCTTCCGCTCCACCCCTTCCTATGTTCCTCCGGTGACTCATTACAACAACAACAACGACACCACCTTGGGTGAAAAGATCTGTGGAAAATGAAGAAGCGTTATAATCTTGGGTTAATTCAGAAATATGCACACAGAGCATAGACGGAGGTGTGCAGCTGACATGCTCTCCCTAGTTGAAAGGTGCGCCAGTCTGCTTCAGCCTTCAGAGGGAGGTTGGCCCTGATCCAGGGTGCTTTCAGATTTCAGCTCGCCTCCCCGCCCTTTCTGTCTGTCTCGGTTTGAAGCAAGGGCTCCCCTTCTCTTCCCACACCCAGACTCGCACTGCCTCCTCTTGGCTGGGAGATGTTTGGGTGTGCCACTCTCTCCCAACCGATGGCATTTCCATTCCAGACACAGAAAGATACCATCTTCCCGCCCTGATTCCCCAAGGGGGAGACATCCTAGAGTATTTAAAGTGTGGGTGTGTGGTGCATAGTCCACAATCCTAATGCAACCTGCCAAGACACTCCTGGAAACCTCTGGTCGTGCCAGTTCAGCTACAGAACAGGAAGCATGGCAGGCAAATCCTTTTACTCCCCACCACAACATTAGAAACAGAATTCCAGAAACTGGATGTGGTCCTTCCCCTCCCCCATTCCACACCCACTGGACTCTTCAAAGTCGCTCGGACTCGATTTAAAGAATCTTAACTTTTGACGGCTCACAAACTGCAGTCAAGCTTTGCTTTAAACAAAAGTCCCATTTAGTTGCCAGAGAACAACTTCAAAAGAGGAATTTATTTAGGACCGGCAGGCTAGAAATGTGTATGGAGCACCGGAGGGGTAGAGTCCTTGCTGAAGGACCTTGACTGTGCCAACCTGGTTCTCTCCAGATATGCTGGATTGCAAGGCTAGCAGGATCTGGCCAGGAGTTGTACTCCCAGTATTTAGGACAGTGCTGAGTTGGGGCGAGGCTGATGGATGTGTGTGGTCACCCCATCAAAAGGAATGCCTTATGCCAGATAGAACACAATTGCCTGCCCCATACCCTTGAAGCTCACCCTCCTTTCTTCCAGGGCCTGTTGATTCTGACAGTCTTGGTCGTTGCAGCTGCTTTTGTGGGCCTGGAAATCCAGTGGGCAGAGCAGTGGGAAAGCGCCCGGATTTCCCTGCAGGTAAGAGCCGACAGCTGGCATGCAAACCTGGAGAACAGGGGGATCAAGAGCCTTGTCCCTTTCAGTTGCCCTTGGGCTGGTGCTTCAGACTTGATTGCCGAGAAGCCCTGTAGGATTCTATGAAATCAGCCCATTGAAACCAATCAAGAAACAACTGAAAACGCTGTTGTATAAGCGGGCCTTTCCAACAGAAAACTCCTGACGATTTTCTTTCTATATCTTTTTAATTTCTATCTCTCTTAAATTGTAACGTTTAAAATTATGTTGTTGTTGCTTGTTGTAAGCCGCCTAGAGTGGTCTAGTACGACCAGATAGGCGGGATAGAAATAAAATAAATAAAATAAATAAAATAAATAATAAATCAGCATCAATGCCCTGTATTGGGTGGGTGGGGGGACTCCAGACCAAAATTTGGAAGCAGTTTGTTATCATCATCCTGGAAACGGAGGCTGGCGACACCCGTATTGCAGAGGCGACACAACTGCTCCGAGTTTTAGTCCAAACTTTACAGGAACAATCCAAAGTGCCGAACCTTGTCTTCAAAACAGATTCAGCACCTCGGAGAGCTCCTTCAAAGGTCAGACTAAACTTCAGGGCAAAGTCACAACCCAGGTAGCAGCAGAGACACCAGACCTTCCCTGGTCAGTTGCAACCCGTTCTTTCCCTTACTCAGCCCTTTTGGGTCCTCTCAGGAGAATCCTGTTGGCTTCCTTTTGAGTCAGCCAGACTGAGAAGGTGCTCGGCCAGAGCCGGATGCTGCCTGAGAGGGCATAGCAGGGTCCTGAGCTGCTTGGGATAGAGACTCTTGGTAACAAGTGATAACCCAGAAAGGGAAAGGCCACACGCCCTCAGGGCAAGAGCACCTCCAGGTTGAACGAGGGAAGAATCTTGCCTGAAGCCCCAATGAGCACACATGGCTGCCGAGCAAGTGGGCCGTCCAGGTCCAGATGGAGCAAGGGTCTGGCTTAGCAGCAAGCACCTTCCTGGACTCCTAGGTGTGTATTTGTGCAACAGCCATTAGCCCAAGCCGGGTGTCAGACTGTGCAGCCCTTCCAGCAGAAGTTGTTCCACCTTGAAGAAAGCGTAACTCTCAATTGTGGGTTGCAGTGCTGCTCCTCAATAACTCTTCGATCATGTAAAAGCATCCCTCTCGGCGCCCCCACCCCCACCCCCGGTCCCAATCTGTTCCTCTCCTCCCTGCAGAACCTGGGAGCACTATCTTGGGAAGTCTGCACCAGCGGCTGACTCTTGTTTCTTTCCCTCCAGGCGATGGGCCCTTTCCTGCACATTGGAGCTGTCGTGGGCATGACTCTGCTTGCCTGGCCAGTGGCTGACTGCTTCTACCGTTCGTCCTACGCAGGTAACCGGGGAAGCCAGCGCTCCTCACCAGGGGTCTCCGAGCCGTGGCATCGAGGAAGTCGTGTGGGCTCCCTTTGTTCTCATAAAGGCATTCATTCCCACTCCTAGACTTTAAACGTTCACTGGTGTGTTCAGGGGGCTCTAGGGGTTCTCGGATCCAGAGGGCAGTCAGTCAAAGCGGCAGGTGGGCACTAGGCAGGGCTATTGGGCTATTCAGTTCTGCCTTGGAAAAAGATCCGGTGGAAGGGAGAGGCCTAAAATGATCCATTCCCTGGGCAAGCCGTTTGCACATGTGCAAGATGGTTGCTGTCCTTCTACATAGAAGACATTTGCAAGGCGGAGGCTGCAGGCCCAAATGTCCCTCCCCTCCCTTCGGTCTCAGTGCCTGCCACAGGCTCCTCATGCACCTTTGGCTTCCCTGTCTCTCCACAGCCCTCAGGTTCCTCCTCCTGGTCTTCTACCTGGGCGCAGTCCTTGCTTTGTATCTGGCCCCCCTGGGCATTGACTCCCCCTGCCTCCTGGCACACAGCCAGCTGCCCATCAAGCCAGCTCTGTTCGGGCACCGGGGAGCGCCCATGGTGAGTAACCCCGAGCCAGCTCTTCAGGAACACTGGGGGGCGCCGCGCGCCAAAGTCAGATGCTGGGTCCGCCCTGACTGGCAGCCAATGGCTCCCCGGGGTTTTGAGTAGCCCTCTTACCTGGTCCCACCTGGAGATCTGTGGCAGACCCCACTGGGCCACCATCTTAGGACCAGCCCTGTTGAGCCTCCCAAATCAGATCGAGTCAAGTGCATGCAGGGGAGACAAGCGGTTCCATAAATCTCACTAAGTGACCTTGACTGCTTTTCTTTCACTCTCTTTCTCTGCATGGCCTACCTGACAGGGTTGTTATGGTGAAGGTAACACAGTTAGCAAGAGACCATGTGCATCACTTTGGACTCTTGGGACAATACATGCCAAATGCTACACAGTCTTCCAGCTCCAGACCAACCTGAGCACCTTCCCACTAGCAGGGACACCGCCCTGCAGAGAGATGGCAGCAGAGACGGCTGGTCGGTAGAACAGGGGCTCCTAAATGTAGTCATTCCCTAGACAGACATCCATGCCCCAAAGCCTCAGCCGAGGGGACCAAGGCCTGTCAGGGCCTCCAGGAAAGCCTCTGGGGGCTGGCCCTTTGCAAACAGTGGTCTGGAAACTAGAGAGGTCAAGAGGTGTAGCATTCCCAAACCGCAGCTTGCCTTTCACATGTTGCTTTCCCTCCAGCTGGCACCTGAGAACACTCTGATGTCCTTCCAGAAGGCAGCCAATTGTGGCGTGAGTGTCTGGGAGACAGACGTCCTGGTGAGGTAAGAGGCAGAACGGCCACAACCGCAGACGGCCCACCAAGGAGATTTCCTAGCCTTCCGGGCCCGCCTCCTCCTTTCAGCATGAAGGTCGGATTCTCCCCCCCCCTCGAGGATTCCAAGCCCGCCTCCTCTTTCTTGTTCCCAGTGCCGACGGGGTTCCTTTCCTCATGCATGACGAGAAGCTGATCCGGACCACGGATGTGCAGGAAGTCTTTCCCGCTTTGGCCCAAGCCAACGCCACCTCCTTCAACTGGACACAGCTGCAGCAGCTGGACGCCGGGACCTGGTTCCTGCAGGTGAGAGCCAGGCGCTGGACGCCAGGGCAGGCACTGTGCCGCAACTGGTTAGACCCGTCGCGCTCAAACCAAGAGGCGCGAGGCTCAGTGACCTTTTGGCACCTGGGGAAGAACGTGAACATTTGGCATTGTTCCTCATCCCCCGTTCCCTCTGCCCGCTTCCTGTGAGGAATCATCCTGCCTTGTCCCCTCACTGAACATGTAAATGAGAAATACCTATAGACCTTTAAATGTCCTACTTGGAAAAACTAGGCTTTTCAGCTTAAGGACTCAGGATTTTTTGTTTGTTTGTTTTTGACAGAGTGGTTGGTGAGAAATAAGGTGAGAAAGATGGGGAGCACCTCCATTTGGCTGGAGGTGGAGCTTGGCCGATTTGCTCAAGCTGTCTAGATGCCCTTGAGTGCTTTTTCTGCCAGGGGCTCCTCTGTTCACAGGATATAGAAAATTCCATTATTGGGGACTATTCTAACCAGAGGTAGGAAGAATCATTGCTGGGCAGGGGGCTTCTGGGGGCTGTAGTCTTCCCCACAAAAAAAGTTTCCAAACTCTGATTTTTTTACAAGAAAAGTATTCTGATTCTGAACAGGGGAAGAAAATAGAGACAATTGTGATATCTTTCTCCCCTGCGTACTGCCCTTAATATTCAAGCTGGCTCTAGCAGGAGATACTGTTGGTTGCCTGAATAGTAGAACTCCATGTGACATAACTGGGATGGGGCAACAAAAATCGTAGTGGTGGGCAGTCATATGAGCTGTGTACCACCCTCCCAACATTTATGATATTCTGGTTGTGGTCTAGCCCCAAATTATATTGTATTTGGAAGGTATACTGGAAGGGTCTTGTCTGTGGTGGCCCCAGTATTCTGGAATTCTTTCAACAAAGATCATTTAACTCCCTGTCTTTCAAGAGGCAACTATAAAGAGGGTCTGGGAAAGATGAAGAGGGGATTCCAGTTTGGAAACAAAACACTGGAAAAACACTCTACATAAGAGTGAGTGTGTAACCAGGTTTCCTGCGGGAGGCATCAAAACCCACAAGTATCTCTAACTAGCCAACTCCCCTATGGGGCAAAGTCTGGGCTGGAGAGGTGTAGAGCAGCCGGGCTCTGGGGCACGCTCTCACTGGCTCCCTCCACCCTACCAGAAACGCCCCTTCCCCACAGCTAACCGTATTTCAAGTGAAGATCGGGCTCTGGTACGTGCCCAGCGTATCCTGTCCCTAAAGCAGCTGCTGGAGGAAACCAAGAAGCACAACGTCTCCATCATGTTTGACCTGCGTCCAGAGAAGGATCCCGAATACGAGCACCTCGTCAACGTCACTGTGGAGACCATCCTCCAGTCGGACATCGCTCCAGAGCTGGTGAGTCAGCTGCCTTCTGCTGAAAAACTCCCTCGGTCCATTTAGCCCCTTATTTTCAGTCCAGGCTGGTAGCAACTCCTTGGAGTTTCAATCAGGACTCATGACGGGCTCTGGGTGGGGATGTTGAGAATCAAACTGGAAGTCCAGCTTTTTACTGGCCAGGACACACTGGGCTGCTGAACCACCACCTTGACATCTGTGGGATGGAACGGGAGAAGACAGGTTTGCCTGGATAAACTCCATCCAAGTCAACCCGTCTTTTCTCCCTGGGTCTGCGAAAAGGCTGAAATGGAGAGAAGCTGGGCTTGAGATGGGTGTTTGCATTTTGAAGTGATGGGTATTCTAAACTCAACCTATTCCCACACTCCCCTTTCTTAGCAGCTGTCAGTTAGTGACAGATATAACTGGTGAGACATGAGGTTTTCACCATGGAATGACTGTGTTTTCATCTGAGCAGTTTGTTGCATGTTCCCTGAAAAACTGCTCCAGTTCGTAAAGTCTTTAAAACTTAACATAAATGATAAATCACAGACCGCTCTTTGTAGAAAATGTACGCTTTTTGTTTCCGTCATGGTTGTCTTGATGAGCTTTTTAAGATCTAAAAGATTTGAGAACTACTGTTGTTTTCTTCCCTCCCTCTCCTATATAGCCCATAATACACTTGGCTTTGCTGTGTTCCCCCAATTTCAGCATTTGCTGACTTATATTAAAGCAACCTGCCACCAACTTTTAGTTTCCCCCCGAACCATGTCCCTTTCCTCCATGATGATGCCATCATTTGGATGGTTTCCTAAACTTTGTATGGATCCACACACACATACACAACATTCGAAGACGGGAAAGTGCCCCTTGCAACACACGGTTGGTGGCACTAAAAGCTAAATTTCCTAAACTTTGTATGGATCCACACACATACACAACATTCTAAGACGGGAAAGTGCCCCTTGCAACACATGGTTGGTGGCACTAAAAGCTAAAATTCTAGAATAGTGAAGTTAGAAGGGGCCTGTAAGGCCATTGAATCCAAACCCGTTTGAGGCAGGAATACAAATCAAAGGACATCTGTCAGGGGTTTGTCTAAAATAGGCTGGTCTCTTTTGCCACAGAGATGGCAGCCTCCTTCAAACCCGAATGTGGCCGCCAGGGATTTCTCGTTTCTCCTGTGATGAGGAACCGAGGGCAGCGTTCCACTTAATTTCTTCCACCTCCCAGGTCCTGTGGCTGCCGGATGAGTTTCGGGAACAGGTGAAGCAGCAGGCGCCCGGGTTCCGGCAAATCTACGGCCGGAAGAGACTGAGCAACGAGACGGGGGAAGAGTTGCGGGTCAACCTGCCCTACCAGAACCTGAGCAGCACAGAAATCCGGTGAGGGATGGGGTGGGGAACAGGCCAGTGCCTATCTTGTAGGTACAGAGGTATGTGTGTTTGTATGTGTGTGAGAGAGAGAGACCGCCTGCCTTCAGCATTCAGCTGCCAAGCTAAGCTAAAATCTGAGAATCTGAAAATGTGAGAGTGAGATTTTAATCATTGTAATATCAACAGTATTAATGGTGAGACTAGGTATCAATCTATGTATTGCCTGATAATTTTTAGGGTGACATTTGGGAGGGCTGCTTATTTTTATTTATTTATTTAGACCATTTTCATTGTTGTTATTTAACTTGAAAATAATGCAGCAACGTTAGCGCCGTGTTATGTTAACGATCGGTGCAACAAGTTTTATATTATTTATTTATTTATTTATTTTGGTCATTTTCATTGTTATTATTTAACTTGAAAAAAATGCAGCAACGTTAGCACCGTGTTACGTTAACGATCGGTGCAACAAGTTTTATCATATCCGCTAATACAATGAAGAGGACCGTTAACGTCCACTTCTTAGAAATCAATGCAAACGTTATGAGCTTTCCCATGAACCCTTCCAACGCCTGCGACTAGCTTCTCGGAGCTGTGCATTTCACGACATGAGAGTTCCTCAGCTTGCATGGCTCCCGAGCAAGCAGCCCCTATTCCGAGTCCGTGCTGACGCAGCCCCCACTCCTGCCCGGTGTGCCTCTTCCTGTCTCCTAGGGAGTATCGCCGTGACAACATCTCGGTCAACCTGTATGTGGTGAACGCCCCGTGGCTCTTCTCCATCCTGTGGTGTGCAGGGGTCACTTCGGTCACCACCAACGCTTGCCAGGTGCTGCAGGGAATGGAGCGCCCCCTCTGGCTGTTGGTAAGATAGTTTCAGGGAAGGGTGTTCCTGCGCCCACTGTGCCTTCCTCTGCCCTGGGAGAGCCGAGAGTCGCCAGTTTACCATTTCTCCCATCTCAACGCCTCTCTTCCAGCCCCGAACCACCTATCAAATGATATGGATTGTGACTGACTGTGTCTCCTTCTTGTTGATCGCCTGGGCCTTCCTGCTGCTAAAGTGAGTACCCTTGATGTGACGTTTTTGTGACTGGGCAAAGCAACGTCTAGCCAGAAAATTGGGGATGGCTGTGCCTTCCCAAGGAAGGAGTGGGCTGGGTGTCTCCCCAAGACTCCACGGCTCTTCCTGTGCACCAAAGGAAGGCCTGTCGCAAGCCCCATGTGCATATGGAGCTGTGTGGCTTGAGCCGGCCAGCAGCAGGGAGGCAAGAGTAGGGAACAAGGTGCAGACGGAACAGGTGAAGAAGCCGCTAGCAAGTCATGTTTGGAACAAGGGGCACCAGTGAGGCTTCTTTCAAGTCAAACCTAAGCAGACATAGTGCCACGCAGGGGCTGCAAGTGACTCTTCAGAACAAGCATCTACTACAGGCAACCTATTCACTGTTGTCTATAGCTAATCTGTAACAGGTACATGCTGTACGTTTCTTCTAGATGGGTAACAAATATAGTTATCTGTACCCCCTTTGCTTGCTAGGGCAGAACAAATTTAGACTGCAAAAATGATGCAATGTTAATTGATAGGTGCAAGGTCATTTTAGAGGTGTTTTGTGCGAAAGAAGTCTCGTACGATTCTGTAATTAATCCTAACACATCTTTTTAAAAAATAACTAACAAAGACAATGCAACATCAGATGCTACAAGAACATTATAAGAAACACCAACAAATTACTTTTTTTCAAATGCCATTGACAAGTAACTGGGTCAAAATACTTCCAAAAGGTAACTTTCCATTCCTTAGTCCCATGTAAAGGATGCTAGTTCACAGGGGCCAAGGTGATGTCCTCAACCCCTCTCCTGTGCAGTGCAGAAGTATTATTCCTGGATTTCCATTGTAAGGGAGTTGAGGGGAGCACCCACATAGATGCCTGGCCATATCTCCTCCACTACTGAGCACATCATGCTTGGCTGCATGTGATGGTCATGTACAGCAGGTTTTTCTGCATACCAAGTTCTTTGTTCCACATCTGACCTCAGTTATGGGCGTGACAGCATTGAATCTGCAGGCTTCATTCAGGCTCCTGGGCTTTATGGATGGCTCTGCTTAAAAAAACAAGCATCTTATTGGGAACACCTTGCAGAAGAAACATTTTGCTGCACATGCACGATTAGTTATGGGGCACAGTCTCTGTGTTTGTGTTGTCCTTTCTTTAGAAATCGGACTAATCTTGGATTTTGCCAATTTACAAACATTACAGTCTAAGTAATTCTTACATGCTTTCACTTTTGCCCCCTTTGCAAAGCTTTCCATTTTTTGTATTACCTTAAAGTTTGCATGCCCCAGCCTCCTATGTAACAGATGCGCACACTTGTCATGATCTGGCACATTCCTTACTACATCAGCCACTTTGTTATCTTTAAGTACATACAGATCATTTTCTTGTCTTGCTTTGGCAACCTTTGGAAGACATTTTGGATGGAAACTCCCAGAATTCCTAGCCAAAACAGCCATGACCACACTGGCAGGGAAACTCTGTGTGTTACCATCCAAAATAATAATAATAACAACAACAATTTGGTGAGCCTGTATTGTCAACACACATGAGCAAGATACATGAACCTCCAAGGCAGCCTCCTGCCTGAGAATCTAGGTGCCAGGACTTAAGGATAGACAGCAAGGAGATGGCGGGGCCCATCGGATCTTGGAACTAACTTTCTGCTGTTTCTTTTTGCAGAAGGTGGTCTAGAAGGAAAGAGTCAGCAGGTAAAGGAAGCATTGGAAATAACTTGCTATTTTGGTTGCATTTTATGCCCTGGCACACACAGCTGAAAGGAAAATGGTAATCCGGTGATGCACTGAACACTTGCAAAACTGGAATGGTCACTAGTAAAGACGTCCTCTTATTTATGCGGAAAGCACTACCCAGCACCCTCTCTCAGACCTATCACTGGGGGTTGGGGAATGCAGTGGCTGTTGTAGACATGCTTCTCCTCTTAGAAATGCCGTCAACCCTTGGACTGTAGCTCTCCGGATGCCTCAGCCAGGACAGCTCCTAGACTGCCGGCTGGCACCCAACAAAAGTAACTTTTAGCATCTGTGGTCCCAAACTATCTTCTTACCCATATTTGGCCCATTTCCTCCACAGCAAGGATAGAAGACTTTTGGTAGACACATGCTGGAGATCAACAAGGCTAACACCTTAAAAGGGGGGGGGGGTTTGGCATTTTCTCTTGTTGACAAGTTTTCCAGTCTCCACTCGTTCCATTGATTGCCGAAGGCCTCTGCAATTGTCCAAGGTTAGCAGATGTCCATATGATTCCTGCTCTGTCTTGACTCATAAGCTTCTCTGAGCTGGTTGGGCTGCTCCCCAAGTAGGCCAACTCCATGTTTGCTGCTCAGAATGATGCTACATTCTTAGGACCCCGTTTGTAGGCAGAAGGGGTGTTCTGAGGAGGAGGATGCAGTCCAGCAAGCCCCCAGCCCAAAGCTCTTTTGCTCACATCTGTCTCCTCCTCCTTCCAGGTTCCGACTCAGATGTGCTCCTGACCAAAATCCACAGCCTGTTGACGGAGTGACTTTGGGATGGTGCTAGCTTGGGGGAAGGACTGCGCGTCTTCTGACTGGCCTTTTCTGGATGCAGCCTGCAGCTGGTACTGGCTACAGCGGGCCCCATCCCCCAGAACCAGGAGGAGTCTTCATGCAGCCTCAACATAGGACGGACCGGACTCTAGCATTGCAACCTGTGGGTGTTCGTAGCCCAGTGCCTTATTAGGGATGGCTCAGCGCCTAAATTCATGCAAGAGCATCACGCCAGCTGAGGCAGGGTTCAGAAGCTGGCTAAAAGGAGGTTCATGTGTTCTCCTTGATTGGTGCATTGACAGACGTCTTGAGCATCTTTGAAGCTATTGTTTAATAAAGCAGTCTGTAGAGTCTGGAGGCAAAATAAGCTATCATTTTCCAAGGGGTGTGTTCTCCCTTTGCTACACAGCAGCTTAGCTTTGCACCAGTTCTGTGCCTCCGAAGGAATTACTCCAAGTCCTAGGCTGTGTTTCCACATGTATCAAACCACAGTTTGTTGGCACATGTGTGACCCTCGGTGTGGTAAATTCCTTCTTGCAGAAATCAGACGCAGCTGTTTCTGTTTTCAAGTAACTGTGATTATTTAAGGCTTACCTCAAACAAACTGGTATCAGTTATGACTTACTGAAACAAATCATCCCCAAGATATAGTTCGTGACCCTGGCTTATTTTTACAAACCATTAGTCTTCTTTAGACACATCAATCCACAATACAATTGAAAACTGATGCAGATGCTTCAGCATGCCTGGATTTGTCAGAATACTGGAGCAGATACACATACGTTACTTGATTAAAGAAGTCTTATTCGGTTTGAAGCCTTGAGGGGAAATATTATTCTTTACGGCTGTTGCACTTGGACGTAGGGACATGACAAGAGAGGCAAGAAATGCATAGCTTAAAGAAAGAAATGTGTGTACAATATGAAATCCAGACATTAGCCTGAGCCAGTTAATATGGATTGGCCCTATTGGGCTTCTATGTCAAAACCTTAGGTGCTTCTCTCGAGAAGAATAATAAGAGGGATGCCCACAAAACTCCATTATCTTTCCTGCCTGGACTTGCTGTACAGTTCAAATCGGAGTGTTAAAGGAGATGCAAAACTAATTCAACAGGCAGTACAGGAACGAAGCATGAAAACACTTCCTGAAGATTAAGCAGGAGGCAGTTAAAAGCTGTATACAAAAGCCAACCAAACAGCAATGTCACTGCTAGAATACTGATGTAACGCAATGCTGCTCCCCCTCCAGCTGTGATGGACCATTGCTGGCAGCAACAGGGGCCAGGCAGACACTTTCATAAGGGAAAGATGCCCCCCCCCTTGCAGGCCCCTCTCTTGTGGATGGCTAGGGAGGGAGAGACCCTCTATTGCACTGCAGGTTCTCTGCCAGCAGGTGGCACTCTTACTTCCAAGCCTGCTGCTTTGATGTTGATGATGTGACATCCCATCAATTCTGACTTATGGTGACCCTTTTCAGAGTTTTCCAGGTAGAGAGTACTCAGAAGTGGTTTCCCTTCTCCTGGGGTTGCCCTGGGACTGGGCAGATGGCCCAAAAGCCACAGATGGCTCTTCTACCTAAAGGCACAGCGGGCGATTGAAAATAAGACCTGAAAGAATAGCGCTCAGGCACGTTCTACTGAATCCCTTGCCCATTCAGCCTAGGGATACACTGCCACTTTTTCCAGGCCTAGGCCACCGTGGATATGGGAAGGTGCCTTCCATCACATGAGAATTTTCCTTGTCAAGCTGCATTGTCCCCAATCACCTGAAGGCTGATCCTGTTAACCAGAGATATCAGCAACTGAATTCAAGAACCTATGGATGTAAGGAAGGTGGTCTATTACACAATCCCTCTCTCCAGAATAAGCCATTCTACAAAAAAACTTAATTAAAAATAACTATGCACTTCCCTGTTCTCCCAAGCAGGAAGGAAGGAAGCAAAACCTATCTAAAGAATTCACACCCTTGCTTGCGTACTTCCAGGTCCCATGCTAGCCCCTTCTCTTGGGAGCAACTACCCAACATTCATCTCTTTCTGGGTTTCTATAATTTATGTATGCTGCGTGAGGATGTGTCATGCTGCAGCATTCAAATCTCCACCACCATCACAAAAATAATTTTTTGAAATTCAGTATATACCATTTACAAGCAAGTGAACCCATGGCTGGGACCGGGAAGGTCTGGACCAGTCTATAGGCCTGACCTGGCTCCAAGGCACACTGACCTCATTTACACCTCCTTGCGATTCGTGCACAGCGGAGCATCAGACATTTGGTCACAGCAGGCCGAGGAACAGGAGGAGGGAGAAAACACCCAAGCAACTCTACCCACCTCAGCTGCTGCAAGGAGCCAGTGGCTGGGGCTCTCCTGGGAGAGGCGGGCGGGCGAGGGCTGCTCCCTCCCAACTGCTCTGGTGGGAGGAAAGGAATGGAATGTGCTGGAATGCAGCCTGCCTGCCGAGGAGGAGTCATCCGGAGCAGGCTGGGCCACCGCTGCCTCTCTGCGGAGCGGAACACTGCCGGAAGCACGCCAGAGAGGGAGGCTCTCTCCCCCCCCCCGCCCCGTAGTTTCTGTCTGCCACCTCTTCCTCCCCGCTGCTCTGTTTGTCAGCAGAGAAGGACAGAAGACCACAGGGCACACAACCTCTGACGACGCACCAGCTTCCCCATATTTAAAGAATGGCCTCCCTGCTGCCAGCCCCTCCCGTTCAGCAGATTCACACACGTTTTAGTCCATTTTGCAACTTCAGTGAGCAGCATTTCCTCCTCTTCTAGAGACACCTAACTGTACCCTTTGCTCCCAGGAGAAGTGGCTAACCTGTTCCTTCAGCAGCTCCTGGATCCCTGGCTCACGGCCAGCCTGGCTAGCTGTAGAAGGTTGCCAGTTCCTCAGGCTCAAGCCTGAGTAGGTCACTAGCTATTAGGCAGACCAACAACAGAGAAGGGAATGGCTGCATGGAGGCCACTACCCACCTTGTGCTCAGTGTGGTCACTGAGGGATGATGGAGGTTCCAGACTGTACCACTTTGGTTCACAACAACCAGACATCTCTCCCCACACGCCCCAGCAGCTCAGAACTTTTCCTGCACACTTCAGGTTGTTCCAGTTGCCACAACAGACAAGGCAAGAATGGATCCAACACACTTAGAAGATTACAGAGTTTTATTTGTCACATTTTGCCTTCCAGCACATTCCACAAAGGCTTTCTCTAGCAGAGGAGACACACCAGAAAACCCTGGAAGGGGGCAGAGCTACTACTGCACAAGGCAACAACACCCAGTGATAACACAATAGTGGGAGAAATCAATGCCTCGGACGTGAATTGGTTCCAAGTCACCAACCCCTCTTGTAAAGGCTACAAGGAGTCCTAATAGAATATAAACACTGCAGGACCTTTTATCAGCTCCAGAGGCCCGCCCTTGTTAACCTGCTGTCTCTAGAAGCTCCAGTGAGGTGGAGGCAGCTCAGGATCCCACCCACCCCACAAGATGCAAAGATCCAGCAGCTAACGTGCTCCCCTTGCTGTTCCTAGATCTGGAGACCCGGCTGCCCACTGCTCACTTCATGTGCCACCTTAGCAGAAGCCCCACACATTCTGAAGCAAGATGCATGCTTTACCAGACTCAGTTCTCACGCCCCTGTTGCGTTCCTCGTTTCTGTCTATCCGAGGTCAGAAGTGTCATCATGCAGCAAAAGCTGGCCCCTATTTGTATTCAGGAGGCCACAAAACTGTGGGCAAAGGAAAGGAAACCAGCAAGGGGTTCTGGCAGAACCAGCCAAGATCACTTAATCAAACAGGTCAGAGCTTATGGCACCTTTGTTTTATTTAGCATATGCTTTCTTGAACTACCATCCACTTCTTCAAACAAATCTGAGGAAGTGGACAGCAGTCCCTGAAAGCTTAAAACGAGGCTCTTAAAAGGTTCCATGCGACTCTTTGTTGGTTTTGCTGCCACGCGCTAACACAGCTACCCCTACATGCAGAATGTGGGTTCTGAACCCACGCAAGATGCAGCAGTGATGGGTATGAGGAGTGGCAGTTCTTAGGGAACTGACCAATCCCAAATTCCAAGGTGGGTCTGCCTGCCCCTCACCACAGCTCAGGATAACTACAGGCTTGGGGGGCACTGAGATCCTCCTTTCCCCTTATGCCCAACCGAGCTTCAGCCCACAGGCCCCTCACCACAGCTCAGGATAACTACAGCCCCTTACGCCCAACCGAGCTTCAGCCCAATCTCTCTGACAAATCTTAACAACAAATCTGTCTCTGTGTTTGGCTCACGTTCACATGCATTGCAAACCTCTTGCATGGAAGGGCCAAAGTGCTCCTCCCTCTCCTGCTGGCTTCCCCTCACTGTTCTATTGGCCCAACGCCCTCGTCTGCCAGAGAGATCCTCCCGCGGAAAGCTCGCACTAGGTGAGTGAGAAAATGCCCTTCCTTCCAAGCTAGGCCACTTGGGGCCACCAGGGAAGAGCCACAGAAATCAGTCTGAAAATGCACACGTGTCAAGGGTGGCCTGTGAGCCGGCTGTGCTGGAATACAACAAAATCTTGTTACTGTGAGCAAGAAAGGGAATCCTGAAATTCTGACCTCTCTGTCCCACCCCCTTGCGGCCAACCATGCTTTGCCCTGCCCCCAGATGGCACATCCTTCACAGAGCCTCACACATTTCGACACATAGGCCCTTTGGCCTTCTCTGCCCCAGCTGTGGAGAACTGTTTTTAGAAATTAGTTGGCTAAAACAGGGTCACCCATCTGCTACTGTACTAGCCAACATTCAGCCTTGCTTCGGGGGGGGGCTGCCCAGGGCGACCGGATAACACGGGGCAATGACCCTGTTCCTGAAGGCCTTAATTGTGGGAAGGAACCTTTCTGTCTCAATAGGGTACCTTAGGAATTCTATGGCTCCCAAGATGACTGTCTCAAGAGAAGACACAAGGCTTCCTTTGCCCACAAACCCAGCTGTCCTCTCTGGGTTCTGCCTACCAGGTTCCACAGCGAAAGCCAACTTCCAGGCAGATCCAGGATCCAGCAAGCCATTACAGTGACTGAGCAGACGTCTGGACCTGAACACACCCTTCCTGACAGGGTTCTGCACAACACAGTCAAGGACTCAGGAGGCTTCTGAAGTGGCAGCTGCGTGACCAGGCTACGCTGGGGCTTAAAGGACCCAAGACATCCTGCTGGTGATTCATGATTAGCTGCTGAAAGCACAAGATGGTTAACCCCCCCCATCCCCACCCTCCCTAGCTTTCCCCCTAATCCCATCTCCAGACTAGTCCTCAGCCTCATGTGCTTTAGTGTTCTGTCTGGTATCAAAAGGATAAAGCTGCAAGAAAATGAGCTGCATTTTTAGCCACTAATTTCATAGGATTCTCTGTTAAAATATAGGGTTTTTTTCTCCC